ACTGTAACCTCATCTCTGCTCAAGGCAGAAGAATAAACCTCCCCCTTGGCCCCAGAGTCCCCCCATGAACCTCTGGGGATGGAAAGAGAAGCGGGTGTGATGGTTCAAAACCAAAAAGATCAACCACATTAGGAAGGTTCAACTGAGAACCTGAGTCACAACCAGTGCCACAATAAAAAGGTGAGGGAAGTTGGTAATGGGAGACTGTGCTGAGAGGTACTCAAGCACCCATCTGCAGCCTGGATAACCTCTCTATAGAGGTTTGCTGCCTGCCAGGGGCCTGCATTCAGGATGTCAGGTATGATAAAGCTGAAGGACTACTATCCACTCCTGGGCTTTAAAACTGCGTCATATGAGGCTGCAACTGGGAAATTCAAAAATAGCAAAAAAGACTTTATGTCACTTGGGAATCTGCTGAAGGGATCAGGGGCACAGGTCTCAGAGTTGCCTCTGAGAAACAGGTCAAGATCTTGTCAGTTAAAATTAGGGACCAGACCAATAAAAAACACCTGATGGTTGCAGTCTGCTACAGGCAACCTGATCGATGGGAGCCTGCTGATGAGGCCTTCTTGCTTCAGCTGCAAGAGGCATTGTGCTCACAGGCTCTTATCCTGATGGGAGATTTCAACCACTCAGATATTGCTGTATGAGATCCCCTGGGAAACTATCCTTAGGGACAGAGGAACAAAACAGGGCTGGCAGCACCAAAAGGATACTTTTCTGAGAGCACAAGAGTGCTCTGTCTTCCAGAATAAGAAATTAGGCAGACAAAGAAGGAAAGCAATATGGCTGAGTAAGGACCTCTGGTCGAACTGGCAGTTGGGCTTGTTTAGTTGGGAAAAGAGAAGGTTCCAGGGAGATCTCACTGTGGCTTTCCAGTATTTGAAGAGAGCTTACAAGCAGGAGGGGACTGACTTTTTACATGGTCTGATGGTGATATGACAAGGGGGAATGACTTTAAACTAAAAGAAGGGAAATTTAAGTTAGATGTTAGGAAGAAATTTTTTAATGAGAGGGAGGTGAGGTGCTTGAAGAGGTTGCCCAGAGAGGTTGTGAGTGCCCCATCCTTGGAGGCATTCAAGGCCAGGTTGGAGGAATCCTGGGCAGCCTGATCTGGTGGGTAGCAGCTGTGCCAATGGCAGGGGGTTGGAGCTAGATGATTTTTAATGTCCCCTCCAACTAAGCCATTCTATGATTCTACTGTCTAAAACATGCTCAAATTAAATATTTCTGTTACATCCAAAACAGCCTTTGGCTGATGAAACAGTTTGCCAGCAATATTCCAACCAGCAAAGAAGAAAATGGTGAACATCTTTCCACAGAATAAAAGCTAACTGCTGGAAGGGTATGATGCTTATTTAACAATGCCTGCTAAAAAATTTTGCAGTCAGAAGGATGCACTTACTGATTTACTAAAATGGAATATTTCAGTTATAGAGTCTCTCTTGAGATAATAAATGTTGCCTTACTGGAATTGTAGGCTGTGAGAATTTTTTTTAGTGGTTCTCCTTATTTTGAAGCAGAACAAACTAAACTAAAACATGGTATTTTTTCATTGTTTTACTTTGACTTGCAGATTTGTCAAGGCTTTCAACTGTGCAGTGAGAACCTACTTTCAACACAGTCTTTTATGTAAACACTATACTTCCTGTTTTGCTTCAAAGCAAAATGATAAAGAAATCTTGACAGTTAAGCAGTCTTATCACAACAGGTATTTATAATCAAATCTCCTGCAACTCAAGGATTTTGCAGACAATAGCAGAGCTACTTTCTGTTCAGTGTCCAAGAACCTACATTACAGAGCCAGGGCTTTAAGCACAGGAGCTTTTCCTTATGTTGCTATTCAAAGAAAGCAACTTTTCTTTTTCTTTTTTTTTTTTTTCTTCTTCTTTTCTTTCTTTTTTTTTTCTTTAGGAAGAAAATATTTTTTATTTGGTCAATATATACAGTTGGGTAAAGCAGATATTAGGTAAAGCATACATGCTTTCAGGTGGATGAATAACCTGTTGGGTCTGAAACAGAGAAAATGTGAAAGTATTTCCAGCTGATTGCTCTGAATTACACTTAATTGTGTTAATCAGTTGGACATTTGAGAGAAAAGTGTTTGTTATTTTAGGTGTGGAAGGTGATCCTGACTCTCCTAAGGCTTCAGGAGGTGATAGAAATTTAGATGACCAGAGAAAGTGGTAGGAAATTCCTCCTGAAGATCACTAAGTCTTGAAACATGAAGAAAATCACAGGTCTGTCTTGAATTCATCTGATATAATACCTGGTATTCAACAGAGTTACAAACTTTTGTTCTCTGGCCTACCTTTCATCTTTCAGAGTCAGGCCAGCAAGTTTGGAGATGCCCATAGATGTTTTGGGAAGATTACTTTCCAACTAGTGTCACTGTCCTATCCTAATTACGTAGAACCCAGTGGTAGTGTGGTTTCAGCCACAGCTTCCTGAGAGCGCTGAATGCATCGCACAACGCATCACAGGATGTGCATATGCAGGATCTATGGATTTTGGTGGCTCTGGCGTAGCAGGCATTTATTATATAGGTTGTGGCAAAATTTGGAACTGATTTTCTGGAGTCATTTAGTTCTAGCCAGTGTATGCTGGTCTGCCAAAAATTTCCTTAGTGTTGAAGCTAATGATGCTGAGTGTTGCTGGAAGGGGAAGAGGGATGGTTTTAGGAAAAATCGTTTGGAGGTATGATTTTCTTCAAATATAAATTGCAGATTGTTAATATTTTCCAGTATATACTTCTTGCACATTGTGGTGTATGATAGCCAGTGAGGGTTTTTCTCTGTATTGTAGTAAGTTTGTACAAGGTTTAGGTGGCTTCTTCAAATATGCAATCACAGAGGAGTGTCACTATTGGATGGATATCATCTGTTGCTTTCTGAGGGTGTGCTATGAATGTTCTCCTCAGAGCAAATGAGGTGATGTTTGTGGGCTGGTACTCTATCACAGTTTTTCTGCTTTGTTTTGGATAGCTGTTGGTTTGTGGAAGGAGGTGTGTTGGTCTGTGGATTTTCTGCATATGGTAGTTTGTAGGTTGCTATTTTTTATGTTGACCGTGGTGTCTAGAAAGTTGATGCTGATGTAAGAATTTTCCAGAGATAGTTTGATGGACAATTCTGGCTGTTAAATTTGTGGCAGAAATCAATGAGGGAATCCAAGTTTTCAGTCCAGATGTCATCTAAGTATCTTTGTGTATCTTAGGAACCCACATTGTTTTGGTGGGATGGTTATTTAAAGTCTTTTTCTTGAGGTGACTCATGAATAGCCTGATATCCTCGTGTTTGGACACAAGCACTTTGTTCCTTCTACGTGCATCTGTAGTTTGGTAAGGATGAACTCATTGCAGATGAAGAAATAGATGACATTAATATCTATGACAGTTAGAAGGCTCTATCACTCCAAATCACCTTCCCGTTGTGGCACAGTTAATGATGATAAAACAAAACATGGTGTTGCTAAGAAGATTATGATACAGTGATCCTGGAGAAGTGCTTTTGAAGAAAGCTGTTTTCATATACAAGGATCTGCTTAAAGATATTAGGAGGAAGTTTTTCACTCAGAGGGTGGTGATGCACTGGAACAGGTTGCACAAGGAGGCTGTGGATGCCCCATCCTTGGAGGCATTCAAGGCAGGCTGGATGTGGCTCTGGGCAGCCTGGTCTGGTGGTTGGCGACCCTGCACACAGCAGGTGTTTTAAACTAGATGATTATTGTGGTCCTTTTCAACCCAGGCCATTCTATGATTCTATGGTGTCAGAAGATCCTCACAGCTTCTCAGTGAAAGTCTCCTTGAGTTTCCTCCTGTAATAAGCTAGAAAACTGCATGAAAGTCTTAAGGTGGTAGCAGGCAATTAGTACTTTTCTTCTTCATTAGAAAGAGATCTAAGCTACAAGGTGAAAAGAACAGAGGCCTTTCCTGAGTTCTTTCTCATATGAAAAACATGAAAAAAATAATCTATCACCATCACTCCTGTTATTTTGACTTCCACTTTATCAACCATTTAGTAATTGGCAACAGGATCTTAAAACCAATACAGACTCTTAAAAAAAAAAAAAAAAAAAAGGAACAATAAAAAAAAAAAAATCACTATTATTTCCTCTCATTAAGAACAAAAACCAAAACAACACTTAATATAGACCAAGACAGCATTCATTCACTATGGGCTGTCTAGAGCAGTGTAATTTGAAGATTATTTTAAAAGTCATTTTCCAGGAGATGGTAGGTTCTTTCTTTCATTTTCAGGAAAGTTCTTTGAGACACACATTGAGAAACATTTTCTCATGTGGTCCTACAGACCACAACGCTAGCAATGTTTCTGAGCAGAAGTGTAAGCATTTGGAAAGAAGAGATAGAGGAGGCCACTCAAGGTTGGACTATTGCTCCATGACTTCCTGGGGGGTGATGTTGGGAAACAGGTGCTGTCACCATCATTTCTCAGATGTGTCTCATCGTTGGTGAAGTAATTGTTACTGCAATATTTAACACAGTGTTAAATGATGTCAGCTTATTTTGATAGTAATTTGTTGCTTGGTGGTTTAGTATATTTCGGACAGTTTTCTTTAATTTCTTGGACCATGTAATCATGCCTGCTTCCGTCAGCCTCTTCAGGAGGTGAAGTTTCTCAGTTTCTTAACATGCAGCCCTAAACAGGATATTCTGTCATGTAGCAAGAGCCAAAAAATAACCTGTTTTTTTTTTTTTTTTTTTTTTTTTTAACAGTATGAATGACTTACACAGACCTATGATATTCTTCCATGTTCACCAATGCCTGATCTGCACTTCAAATCCCTTGCTTTTACGCCCAGACTATTTCCACACAGGGCTGTAAATACACATAGCTTGCTCCAAAAGCACTGCCTTCTATATATTTCTATGGAAAATACAACGAGCACACTAACACTATTGGATAGAACAAATTCTCAGCTATACAATGTTATTTTTCAGCGTAGTCCCCACCATTAGCTGTGCATTTTTGCCAGCTGTGAAAATAGCTCCTCAGCTGAAATGCACCACCTGCTGCCTCCCCATGCTCACATCCACTGTTTGGTCTCCGTAAGTGCTCAGCAATGGTTCGTGAATGTCAGTGGCTGCCATTTCTTCTGCATGGAGGAATTCAGCGTCACACCTTTCCTTCACCTGCACCTCCATGTCAGGCCCATTTTGTCAGTGCTGCCACCTGTCACACAGCAACGCAACGGAATGGAATATTGGTGGGAAGGTTCAACCTTTACTTCCACACTACCAACGTTTGACGTTGAGGGCCATCATAACACAATAACTTTTGGAGCAGCCCTTGTATATCTGAAGACCCTTTACAACAAGCACCTCTATAAGGATTTAGGAGAACTTCAGGACTTCTTTTTCTGTTTTGGACAGAGCGAGCCAACAGTTTGCTTTCATTTTAACCTGGCCTTGTTGGAGGGTGAGTTAAGACACGGTAGAAGCTGACAGCCCTTTGCTCCACACACCGAACTGAGCACAAACTGACCGTCAGAGAGACACAGCTGACCGCCCGTGGGTCCGGGTTTGGGGCGGGTACAGAGCGAACTCGGGGAGGGAAGGGGGCGGTGAGGAAGGGTGGTGGCGGGAGGGCGGGTCGCACCGCCTGGGGCTGATTGGCCGCCCAGTTTATAAGAGCTTCCCGACCGGGACGGCGGGGGTTGTTTGCCGAGGCCGGGGTGCTCCGTGGAGCCGTGTGTGGAGCCGACCCAGCGGAGTGCCCGCGGCGCCATGCGGCGCGCCAGCCGAGACTACACCAAGTACTTGCGCGGCTCCGAGGAGGTGGGCAGCGGCACCGCCCACGAGAGCGCCCCGCCGCCGCCGCCAGCGCCGCCGCTGCCGGCACACCCGCACCCGCCGCCCGCCTCCCGCTCCCTCCTGGCCGCCCTCGTCCTGTTGGGGCTGGGACAGGTGGTCTGCAGCGTCGCCCTGTTCCTCTATTTCCGAGCTCAGGTAAGCGAATGATGGGGATGAGCGAAGGCGGAGACTTGGTTTGGATCTGAAGTTGGCCCAGGGTAAAGAGGCGGTCAGGCTGTGTGTTGAGCCGGTGACTTGGAGGTGGAGTGCGTGGAGTCGTGTGGGCAGGTGCGAGGGGTCCTCAGGGTGGATGGTAGCTCAGTGCTTCCCCTCCATCCAGCTCTGGAAAGGCTTTGGTTGCGAAGGCTTCCCCTCCAGCCCATGGGGAGGCTTTGCTTATTGATGATCAGTTTTTGGTTGGAGATTTCCTGAGGTCTTTGGCTGTCATACAGGATTCACCAATGCAAGAAGCTTCTTGGAGGTGGATAACAAACAGAAGCACATCTGGCATGGTGTGGCTCTCAGCTTGGGCTGAGGCACCTAGAAGTGGGATCCCCTGTGTGACTGTAGGTGAGCCCAGCCATGCTGCAGGTCTGTTTCAGAGGTAGGCAGTGTCTCAGAGGGCACAGAGAGATGCTTCTGCAGGGTGGAGAGCTGCCGAGTGGTTTGGGTTTTGGAGAGTAAAGGAGCCCACTTCTTGGAAACAGCCGGGCTGGCTGCCTGCATCCCCTTGCCCTGTGCTACTCGGCCTCCACAGAGGAAGTGGGGGGCTGCAGGGAGTTTGCTTCTCGGGGCCAGGTTGTAGATGCCTGCTTGGCTTCTTATCAGTTGCTCACTTGTTCTGCAAACGCAGGCCTGGTGGCCTTCGTAGAATTATTGCTGGTGTTGTTTGTGCTTTCTGTTTGAAGTTAGTGGGAGTGGAAACCTGTTTCTTCCGGTTGACTTTCTAGGTAGATGTGCTTGATCTTGATGTGGCAAAGGCAGGCTGGATTTCTTAACAAAGTGCAGTCTGAAAATAGTTGTTGCACAAGCACGTTCCCACTTAAACAGATGAACAGCTGTCAAATAGATAATGACAATACTAGCCATTTATTATGAGGACTAATTCATATATCATTACCTGCAGTGGCTTTATTTGCTGCGTTTACAAAAGCAAAATGTATGAGCTCTTGGAGCAGTAGTATGGTACTTAATTGATCATATACCACACACTTTATAAGAGTGACATTTAATTCATGGGGCTCGTAGTAAAGTACCTTACAGCTACTTGTTTACCTGACAGTGTCACAAATTAATGCTTGCTTCAGTTTATGGCAAAGTGCTTTTCACTCCAGATCTGCATGAACTTGCAGAGACATCTTTTTCAAAACACGGCTCATGAAAATGCACAGCTGCACATTGATATACTAGTGAGCCATTACAATCAAAATAATTAACACAAATGCACTTTTTCATCCCTGCTCTCTTTCTCCCCTCCCTCCCCTTATTCCGGGCTCTTTCAGATAGGTTCATGTCAGTGCTTCACACGTGCCCAACAAAGTGTAAAAAGAATTTTCATACCATAAACACTATTCTTGTTTTGCTTCCTTTATTTTAAAATTTACATAGTCTGGTGTCATTCTGCTTTTGGCAGTCTCTTTCCACTTTCGGGTTCCTATAAGATTGGAGTAATGCTGTTGGATGGAGTCCTTTGAAAATGTGAAGTTCTGAACAGACCCAAAGATATAGCTAGATGTAGGCTTGACTGAAATCTTGCCTGCAAACTTCCTAATGGTAAAAAAAAGTCTTTGCCACCACTGAAAAATAAACTAATAAGCGTACTTTTGAAGTGGGTAATGCACAATAATAAGATATGGTAATCCATATTTCTTCAATTTCTTATTGTGTAATAACACAGATGGGAGAGAAAATGCAGTAGATCTTGGAGAAGTTAAATCTTACTTAACTGCCTTGCCAATTGTTTTATTTATATGGGGCACTGTCTGCTTAGTTTTGAAAAATGTGCTGTCAAATTTAATTGCATTAATCTATCTGCTCTTAAATTTAATTATCTAAATTCACACTTTTTTAATAACAGAACTAAAGTACTGTGGTGTATTTTGATTAAAAAATAATAGGAAGTTAATAGTAAAGTAGTGCTTCACAAGATATGAATGGGTTGGTGGACTAACCAAATGTGAATTAGCGAGATTTGACTTTGTAGGTTCATAGTGAGAATTTATATGATTAGATTTGACTTTCATATAAAACTCTAAGAGGCTGAGTAAACTCTGACTCAATTTTACCATCCACTTCTTTATTTTCATTTGCATAAAATCATTTGGGCCGGATCATGACACAATATGAGCTGAGACAATGATTGAGGTTTTGGTTTTTCCTTAGTTTTGTTTGTGTTGTGGCTTGAGCATTTGGAATTTCACAAGACACAAAACTAAGGCTGACACCAGATTTTCATGAGTAAACATGTTTGTGGCCAAGAAATAACGTAGCACAATGTGAATGAGACGAGGAGCTGGTATATTTACTTAAAAAAGAAAAAGCTAGGAGTTGAATGCTACCAGTATTTCAGCAATGACATTCTGAACTGTAAAAGATAGTCTTTTCTTTTTTTTGGTGCATCTTGTGCGAAGTTCTGAACCCAGGGAATTAATGCTAACAAAATGTGTTGCTCCTGGTATTTAGTTTTGATTACACTTTGTGAGAAATATTTGCTCATGGTCAGTGAGAACGCAGTCAAAATTTAGTTAGATAGTCCATACAGCTGGAGATGATGGAGACTTGGGCAAAGCATAAGGTGGGAGTGCTGAGTGTTTTACTTAACCTACTTTGTCACCAAGCAATGAATAGTCTTCAGAAGCTCTTCTACGTTTTTCATTCTGATGTATTACCTTACTGTACTTAGGTTGTAAAATGATATGAACTGGGTTTAATGCTGACTGAACCAGTGGGCACTGGAACAAGCTGGAAGAGCTCAAAGCTAGATTTGGTGGTTGGGTGTCAAGCTCTTGTAGCTTAACCTGGAACTCCAAGCTTATTTATTTTTCTCCATTTGAGAAAATAGTCTGTACAAATGCTAAGCATTCTGCTGCACCATTCACATTTAGATAAATGGGGATCTGGAAGATGCATATTTATTACCATTTCGTACATCTGTGGTATTCTGACTTCTGCTGCAGTGTTTTTAAACAGTCTCTTTTCAGGCTTCATCTAAAATGTGTTGGCAGTGACTAACAGCAAACCACTTGCTAGAGGTCACCAGCACTTTCTGGAAGCCTTGAAGAACCTTTTCTTGGTAGTTAAGAAAAATAATGAAGTGTAAACTGATATGATTAAACTGGAAGTTGGTTTAAGTTATGAAAACAAGGACAGTATAAATGGCTTACTTTAAGGACAAAGTACAGAATGTGGTACTGTTGGGAAAAAAAAAGGCAATATTTCACTTATTAGATTGGTTGGATTGTACTGTCTTTCAGAATCGAAGTGGACTTTTGTTACAAAATTGGCTCTTAATTCTGGAAATTCCTCTGGTCTCACCCACAGTATTGGAGTTTATTTTGACTGTTTTGACTACCCTGATTGGCCTGAAAGGAGTTTAGACGTGCAACTAAAATGATTAGAGATCCTGGAAAATGTTGGTATCGCAGGACATTGAATGATGAGATCTCATTTCAAGGTCAGACACAGTAGATATGTATACAAATACTAGCATGGTTAAAATAATGGATGCTCTCTTTAAAGAGGGTAATATATTTAGGATATTTAGCTTCCTTAACGTGTCATAAAGCTTTCTCCAGTACTGTTGATGGTGTCTTGATGCTTCCAAGTTTGACATCTTTAGGTCTCTGTGCTAAAGTCTCTGTTCAAGGGCTACCCTCCTGTTCCTTGTGAGCTAGCAAGCTGCTCTCTGTAGACCATTCCAGTATTTCATTTTGACTCTTTGGAATATCTCCTCAGAATGTGTCCTTGAAAGGTGGTTGTTGTTGTTGCTTGTTGCCCACAGCAATGGTTTTGGTGTTCAGTATTGATGTTTACATCTATGGCAGCTCAGTGGCAGGCTTGCTGAGAGTATCTGTTCAGAATAGCAAGCTAATTTCCATGATTAAGTTGCGAAGACTTGAGTATTCTTTGAAAATGTTTAAGAACTTCCAGGTAGATTCCATGATGAGAGCTTTGCCTTATCAGGCACAAAATCTCTGGAGGCTTGTGGTTCATCAGGATGGGTTACACAGCTTCAAAATAGGATGCCAAATCTATCAGTGTTTCCATTAAGCCTTCAGTCTTGTAACTGGAGGTGCAGAGATGTTGGTTTTCTTTCTCAAGCCTTCAGCAGATACGCTGTGATCTGAATAAGTGTCTCTGTACTTGCTGCTTCTGCTATCCTGGCAGCATTGTGAGGCATATTTAATTACTAATGGGTGGTAGCTGGATGCCTGTGCTATGTGCAGTTTGTCATGATCGATGTTCATACCCTTATGACAAATTATCTTTCATAATCTTTTCTTTAAAACCTTCTTTTCTTGCCTGCTGTTCACAAGGTGTGCTTAAATGAATCCAGAAAATGTAATAGTTTCTCACCAGTAGTATTACTGATGAAAGTGAGTATAAAAAGTGATTTAGTGGTGGATTGTTAGAATTAGGGTAGTACGGTTGGGTTGCGATTGGACTTGATGATCTTTAAGGTCTTTTCCAACCTGAGCAATTCTATGATTTTATCTGTTGTCAGTTATCTGTTATGGCTCTCTCACTGCTGTCCAGTGGTGTGTGTGGAATGGAGAAGACTTAGATATCAACATCCCTCAGGTCTTTGATAATACCAATAGAGGAGGATACATCTGGGCTAGTGAATCCTGATTGGATGCCTTAACACAGGAGGCATATCAACCAACTGGATAGAGTCTATCAGATGACCATTGGGATAAGGAGGGGCTGTTGCATATCAGAAATGTGGAACTGGATTCTTTCAACCTAAAGAACAGACTGAGATGGAATCTACCCACTGTTTCTGGCTACCTGAAGTGGGATTGTATAAATGGTAAAGCCAGGCTCTCCAGAAGTGCACAGCAAAACCAAGAGGCACAGTCTATAAACTGCAGCAAGGAGAATTCCATCTGCACATCGTTTTACAGTTTTACACAATACAAGAGGTTAAATTGTAGAGCACTTTGCCTGAAGAGATGGAATGGGGAGATGCCATAAAGCTTTACTTAAGCAAGGCTTCAAGCAGCCTGCCCTAAGTTAGAAGTTGGCTGTGCTTCAAACAAGGGTCTGTACCTTTCTATGTTATTGTCCAACCCTATGTTCTGTATTGACTGCCTTTTAACAGCTGATGGTGGTCATTGTGTGCTGCTTTTTTTTCCCCTCTCTCTGCTCCATTTGTAATTGAATCTTTCTGTTTCTGGATACTTGTGGAGCCTATGGGGAGAGACAGTTTTAGGTTGCACTTGTACAGTCGTTGAAGCTCATGCTGCCTACCTGCTCCTTCGTGCCTGCGCCTGTGTTGGCTCTGATGCTTTTCTGACACTTGCAGGAAGTGGCTTCTGGGTGCTCATCCTTCAGGAAACTAGATCAGCAGGAAATCATCCTTGGTACTGGTTTAAAGAGAAGATTGAGAATCAGAAGCAGGATTTCATGGTGAAGAAGGTGAGGGCCCAGAGATGATCTTTTAGATCTACTTGAACAGCTAATGGGGCTGCACCAGCTGGTTTCTTAGTTGTTAGTGCTCAGTAGAGTTGTAATAGCAATAAACAGATTTTCTTTTGTATTCAGCTGTATCAGGCTGCCCCAGGAAGATGTTAGGACCTCCAGGCCATTGTGTAACTCATCTCAACCGCTGTACTCAAAGCTGTGGCATCTGCTGATCTTCAGGGGAGCCTTTACTGACCTGTTCATTTCCAAATCTGCAGGGATAAGTGAGACAGCTAAACGATCTCATGGAGGTTGGCATTGATTTGAATGAATGGGCAAACAGCTCTTGCAGAGCATTCAGTGAGTGAATGGTGATAGAGAAAGCAATTTGCTCTGAATGTTGCTGACTGTGCAACAAATGTTTCTCTGCAGTGTGTGCATGTTGGATAGATTGCTGCCTGCTGTAGACTCAAGTTTACCTTTGCAATCCTACGTTATGGTTTTAAGGCAGTTTGTTTTTTGGGGGGGGCTTAGGAAATTCAATCCCTGTTCATGTGAACAACTGATACAACAAATCTGATTCATTCTGGCTGTTCTGCATTTTGCCAAAGCTCCTTTGCAAAGCTCTGCTTTGTTCAGTGCTGCGTTAAAGGAAAGTGACCACTGGTTTGATGTTATCCTTAATGGATAATATTCCCTCATCATGACTATTTGCAATATTGTGATTCTTAGCTGTAAATTGGTGCTTTGCACATATGTCATAGAAAACAGTAGATGTATATATTGATAGTGATACGACAAGGGGGAATAGTTTTAAACTAAGACAGGGGAGGTTTAGGTTAGATATTAGGAGGAAGTTTTTCACACAGAGTGGTGACACAGTGGAACAGGTTGCCCAAGGAGGTTGTGGATGCCCCATCCCTGGAGGCATTCAAGGCCAGGCTGGATGTGGCTCTGGGCAGCCTGGTCTGGTGGTTGGCGACCCTGCTCATAACAGGGGGGTTGAAACTGGATGGTCATTGGGTTCTTTTCAACCCAGGCCATTCTATGATTCTATGATTTTATGATTCTATATGTTCTTAGACTGGCAGATACAGTTAGAGACCTCAGAGAAAGTTTAGAGTGAGCAAACCTTTCTGATGTAAAAGAGGAATACATGCCAAGATCAATTACTGAAAGTCTTAAGCTATCTCTGAAAGAAAAATGCTTAATGTCTCTTAAGCGTAAAGTATATGGAAAGGGGGAGAAATGGCTTAAATAAAGTTTGTCCAATTGAAATCTGTCAAGGAACATTCTTGATCCTTGGAATATCTTTCTCAGTCATCTAACTGGTAAGACTCAGGAGCATTAAGCTTACAGTTTAAAAGTATATTTGATTCAGTTACAGAAGTTAATTGCTAAAAATATTTTGCAGATATTTAAGATTTACTAAACTTTGTCCAATAAAGAAGTTTTTTGTAGTACAGTTTTACTGGCTTATCATCTTCCTGAATTTGTACCATCTCAGCAAGTGCTTCATGCAGGAATACATCTTGCCTGCAAAGCAGTTTTTGGTAGCTGGTTTCTGTACTTCTGTTTCTTCTGTTGAAAAGGATGAGTTAGATATTGTACATACATCCCATAAGCTGCTTCTCTTGACATCTGTGTCATCTTACAAACTAGTATTGACAGGGAAGATGGCTGTGTATGTTGCCTGCTAAAGTAATTTTGATGTTGCATTGAGTGGTCTAAACATGGAATTCAGGATTATTGATTTTTATTCTAAGGGTAGGACTATCTTTAACCTTTGAAAAGTTAAGCATCCAGTCTAAGCTAATGAGCTAAGTCGCTCCAAAAGTTAATCTGTTCTTCTATCTTACATGCTTGTTGGATGAAGTAAACCTTCCTATGGGAAACATTTTCTCTCTTCATTTCTTAGAATGAAACTTTAGATGATAAACATAGCTAATTGCCAAAATTTTAGATGTTTGAAAATCCTGCCTGACTTAAATGTTCTTATTGCTTATCGAACAGACTGTTTAAACTGTGGCTGTGCTTATATTTTTGTTTCAGATGGACCCTAGTAGAATTTCAAAAGAAGATGCACACTGTGTCAGAATGCTTTTCAGATCTCAAGAGAGTATAGACTTGCAAGACATGCCCTTTGAAAATCAAGAGGTGAAGTTAATGCCAGAATCATGCAGAAGGATGAAGCAGGCTCTCCAAAGGGCTGTGCAGAAGGTGAGTGGCAGATAATGTTTTCCTTTATTTTGTACTCTTGGTAAATCTAGCACAGTGTCCAACTTCTGCATACAGAGGTAAGACTGCTTTGATTGATATCTGATGCTGTGTGTGAGTTCCTAATGTGTTTGCTTATGAACCTGCTGCTGGTTAATCAATTCAACGAGGTTTTAGTTTTGCTAGAGAAAGTCTTGAATACACACTGAGAAAACTAATCACAGTTGATTGGCCATTCTGACTTTTGAGGGGGGTCTGTGTGGTAGTTGTTAAGAAGGGCGGTTCCACTTCTTTTTTCCCCCCAACCTGATCTGCCTGACTCTTCCTGAGAAGATTCTCCAAGCCAAGAATATTTGCAAGCAAAATATTGTCTGGAAGATGGAAAGGACAGTATGTGTTCTCATTTGCTCTTGTTTCTTAAACTTTCTGTAGTGCAATAGTTTTGACTACTCAGAATGAAGGCTACCTCCTTTCCTTTTTTTGCTCACTTGTCCAATCATCTGTTGTGTGCAGACCATTCCCATGGTGATGGAGGAGCTGCTTTGTCATACTATGATAACTAGGCAGTTTCTGCCCAGCAGGGGAGAATGACTGTGTGTTTCCCAAACTCAAATAATAAAAGTAAATTTGCCTTAATGAAGAAACCTAGGAGAGCTGACGTGGTCACCCCTTACTGCAGTAAAGCTATTATAAGCTATTTAAGAAGCTGAAGTTGTGCTATAATTCTTGGTTTTCCTGGCTTACCTGGTCTATTACTTCCACACATCTGCATACATATGACTGTCAGTTTTTTTTATAAAGGATACTCTATTAGGTTTGAGCTGAGCTCATGTATACTTTACAGAGTGAATTGTACTTGTGTTAGTTATACACTGTTTTAATTGTGCTGATGTTTTGTTTTAATAGAGTACCCTGAGTGATAGATCTTTTTCAGAACAAAACTTTAAGGAAGACGGGTGCTTGCCACCTTCTTTAAAAACTCAGATAAAATGGATTAGCTCAACAGGATTTGTTCATTCAGCATTTTTTAGACTCAGACTCTACCCCTACTTCTGTTTTCTGTGCACTGATACTAGAGTGCTCTTTCAGACAGTTCCCTTGGCAGTAAGGAGCTTATTACTGTAAGTGAATGGGAAGCTCTGTGTTCTGGTCATTTGCTGCTGGTTACTCAACAAAAAAATTGACTTCAGTGGAGGCTGCATATCCTGCCTTCCAGCATAGAGGTTAAATGCTGCAATGTCAGTGGCCAAGATAAGTAGTGAGTAGGATAATTTTTATTTTTTTGGTCAATGACCATTAGTTTGAGAACAATAAGGTTTCCTCTGCCAAAGTAATCGGACTGGAATTCTTGAATGCAACAGAATGTATTAAGTAGCTGGGTCAGTGTTCTGGATGCTTTGTCATCACACACTGATGACAGAAAAATAAAGACAGGCAAATGTATGCCTGGGGTTACGTTTGCATCTTCTCTATTTTTATTTCAGAAATGAAAGAGAAGATAAAGCAGAATTATCCTTGGGTCTTCTGTAAGCTATGCCTTTCATTGCTCTGCTATAGTGAAAGGCAGAGGTGTAGCTGAATGTTATCTCCAGTATAGCTAGTCCTTTGTGTGAGAATGTAACCTGGAAAGATGTTTCCTATTTTCTCTATTTAGTTCACTTTCCTGAAAGAGAATCTAACCTGTGTTTTAAGAATAAGTATCCTTATTTGCATTGGCAGTATATTAGATGACTGAAGTGGAGCACTTCAAAAATAGTTGTGTGAGTTTTTTGTTTTTTAATTGTTTGACTTTTGCAATTCAAACTGTTCAGGAAGTGAAAACAGACAACTTTTTTTTTTTTGCTTGATTTTATAGTCTGGTTACAGTTTTTAGCTTACTACACTGATTCTCATCTGTTTTCTTTGTACACCTGTAGATGAGTGTTTAAATCTAAAGCAGAGGTTGATGTTGCTGATACTCTTATAAAAGAAAAAAAAAAACAAAAACAGTGTATTAGTGCTGCGAGGTCAGATCTGGAAATATGTATCTCCTGTAAAAAACATATTCCAGAAAAAAAAAGCTGCTTAGGGAGCAGCTTGCTCAGTAGAAAACACACATTCAATATTATTGCATATAAACTTTCAAGCAGACAAATAATATGCTTTCCTAGCCTTTCTGTTTGTTTTTTTTTTTTTTTTTGTATATAACCCTAAAAACCCTTTGGCAACCCAGATGCACTAACCACATTTCTTATGAAGTCTATTATGTGTCTGAAGTAGAAAGGACTACAAACATATCTTGGGTCAGTTCATGAGTGTCTTTTTTTGGCTATATTCCCAGCTTTTAGCTTCTTGGGGAGTTCAGGCATAAACTAGTCCCCTCCATGGCAAAAAAGCACTTTGTTGGTAGACCTCCAGGGCAGAACTTATAAAGAGATATATATTTTTAGCAGACGTTTTAAGTGCATGTGGTTAGGGGCAAACTGAAGGTTTTATGGGTGACTGTTTTAAGTTGACAAAACTTCGATTTTTCATACTACAACCTTACATGCCTTTTTTTCTGCAGGCAGTAGAGTACTCATTTGTGTAGACACTACAGTGCTAATTTTGATCTTCTGAAGAATACTTACTTTCTCTTTCACTTCCTTTTCGATTAGCTTTCTTCTGCTGAGTTTCTGACAAGATACTACTTCTTGATATTAACTGAACTTGAAGCACTGAGAAAAGAAAAATAAACATCTACCTAGGGGAGCTTTAGCCTTAGTCACAACTTCCTCAATTTGTGAATATATTAAGGGTCTCTTGTGGTTGGTCTCAAAAGGCTACTTGTAGCTACTCAAAGTAGATCATGAGATATTGTATAATCAAAGAGGAAGAAAAGCCATTCACAAGTGTTACTTGTCCAAGGTTAGACCAGGCTACATTAGAATGTAACTTGTGGGATAGGATTGGCCCTGCCTGTGGCAGTGGGGTTGGAGATTCATGATCCTTCAGGTTCCTTCCAACCTGGGCCATTCTTGTGTTTTGTGACTTGTGTTTTGAAGACCTGAGGTGCTGGTGTGGTAATAGGTCTAATAGTTGCTTGAGGGTTAAAACCTGCATCCTGTTTTGCATGAAGAAACAGCAGTTCCAGACACTTCAGACACTTAGAGCATGATTTTAGCTTTCAAAATTTGGAACTTTTGCAGCTTCCTGATGGCCTTATAATGTTTTTGAAGTAATAAGTACTTTTTATTTGACAGACTGCTTGTGTGTTGTTTGAACAGTGATTGTATGAAAGAGGTTGGGATATGGGAAGCAGACCAGCAGAGTTGACACAGTGGGCAGTAAGCAAATGACACAAAGGTGTACAAGTGCAGATTATTGGAAGATGATGTGTGGTGTGATTTTTTTTGCAAACACTTGTTCTAAAAATAACAGCTTGGTAGCACGCTTTGCTGTGTGGTTCGAAGTCTTGAGAGAATCACTGGTAATATTTTGTCAAGAGGTCTCGTGCTCATTTAGTTATGTCTTAGTTACAAGATCTGTTGAGCTCTTTCCGCTTTCTCAATGGTAGTGTGCACTGTGAGAAAGTATGAGGTACTTAAAGGCATTCAGGTGCCCACTAAGAGGGCATCTGTAGACATCCAGGTAGCACAGTCCTTATGTCTTTTAGGATCAGAAAAGCCAGTACAGGTTTAATTATGGCAAGCTGTGTACCAGTGTCTTGGAACCGTAAAAACAAATGAAGTTTTTTTTTTGAAAGTCAAGAACAATTTTGAAGTACATATTCTTCATGAGGAAACCCACAGCTCCATCCTTGTTCTTTATTAACTAGTTCCTTTATTTCTCCCAGTTTCTTTCTGGATTCCTAGGCAAATGGAAAGAAAAAAATTTAGAATTTTGTGGGGCTGTTCAGAATCAAGTAAAAAGCTTGACACTAGTGCAGGGTTTGGATAACCCTGGATATTTGTTTTCTGGTCACAGGCTAACTATTGATAATCCACTGACAGGCACACAAAGGATTCATTCAATGTGAACCAGACTCAGGTTCTTCTTAAGTGTATTAGTGTTGGGCTCATTCTTATCTCCCCTTTTATTGCTATGATCACAGAATTATAGGGTTTGGAAGGGTCCTCAGGAGATCATCTAGTCCAACCTCCCTGCTAATGCATGGTCACTAGAGTAGGTTGCACAGGAAAGCATCCAGATGGGTTTCTAATAGCTCCAGAGGAGACTCTTAAGATGTTTCTGGGTGGTTTGTTCTAGTGTTCTGTCACTCTCAAATAGAAGTTTTTTTCTTGTTCATATGGAACTTTCTGTATTCCAAAATGATGCTTACATCTTTCATTGCATAGTAACCTCTCTTCAAGAGGAGTGTTCCTGTTAGGTCCAGTCTGCAGCTTGGTGACAGAGTTGCTCCAAAGTGGAAGGAGAGTGATAGGTAGATTGAAGACCATCGAGATGAGGAAGTCAGCGGACTTGTATCTTTCTAGGTAGCTGTTCTGCTCACCAAGTAGTAATATTGCAGATGAAAAAAAACACCACTAGTTAGAAAAAAAAAAAAAAGCTCATACTACATTTTGTGAGGACTGCAGCCTTTCTGCATGGAAGATATGCTGAGTCAGACTGCTAGGTCTCAAAGGGTAGAAGAACCAGCTGCTCAAGCCAGAGCATCTTTGGAAACATGCAGAAACAGAACTCTAGGATACTAAGAAAAAAAATAGGTTACAAGAAGGATAGCAACTGGCCAATTAAGGAACTTCAAGGGCTGTGCAGTTATCAGGTATGAGATTTCATTTAGTACCATTTTAGATACTAGAAGATTAAAATGTATATTTTCTTGAATCTGTACAACAATCTCTCCAGACAAGTGCATTATATCACATCTCTCAGAAATAAAGGATCCTTAAGTAGATTCCACACCCAAAATGTTTCCATTAAGAAAAGAAGAAAACAAAGAAGTCTTCCCTTTCTGGAGAAAGTCTGGGGGGAGTTATGTAGCTGTAATGTCCGAGAGTCTAGTCTATTTCACAGTCTTTCACTCTTTTATTCTATTTTCTCCAGATGAGGTCTTATAAGGGCACAGTAGATGGGAGCAATCATCTCCCTTGCCCTGTTGGCTATCCTTCTTTTGGTAGGATACTGCTGGCTTTCCAGGCTGAAAGTGCATGCTGTCAACACGTTTCCAGTTTCTTGTCCACCAGGATCACTTAATCCTTCTCTGTGGGGCTGATCTCAAGGAGTTTTTCTCAAAGTCTAGGAATGCCCTGACCCAGGTGCAACGCCTTGCACTTGGCCTTGTTGAACCTCATTAGGTTTTCTTGTGACAGCTTTTTGAGCCTGTGCAGGTTCCTCTGGATGGCTTCCTTCTGTTGCGGTAACCTGTACCACTCAGCTTGATGTCATCAGCAAACTTTCTGAGGGTACGCTTGATCCCTGTCTTGTTGATTAAGATGTTGAAGAGCACCATTCCCAAGAGAAGAATAGCTTTAAAAGATAGGAAATTGAGGATAGATATTAAAGGAAATTCCGTACTCAGAGAGTGGTGAGGCACTGGATCACGTTGCCTGGAGAGGCTATGGATGCTCCATCTCTGGAAGACAGGGATTCCAAGGCCAGGTTGGATAAGGATCTGGGTAGCCTGACCTAGTGAGTGGCCGCCCTGTTCATAGCATGGGATTTGAACTGAATGATCTTCTAGATCCTTTCTAAGCTAAGCCATTCTTTGATTCTGTGATTTTTATCACCTTAGTACCTAGTACTTGTGATTTTTCTTCTTAATACTTCATTAGAAGTTAGAGATCAGGTGTGGTTAGAGGCTGATGCTGGTGCACAGCTCCTAGAATTGAGCTCTCCTGCTAGAACTGATGTTGCAGTAAGAAGTTCAGAGAGGGGAAGTGAATCTAAGTGGGGGGAGATGGATGTGGGTTTTGCCGCTTCTGAAGTTGCGATTCTTCTGCTTTTCTTCTTGTCTCTACAGCAAAAAGCATTTTTAATGATTCATATCTACAAAATCGGCATATCTCTGCTGAGGTAGTATGCTTTGATAGTCATACTACAACTTCCATGCTGCTGTGGTTTTCCATTTTGATTTAACATTTAGACACCTACTGAGAGGAGAAAGAGTACAGCAGAGCTGTTACAGATATCACGGCAACTTCAAAATTACATAAAAGCAGAACTTCAGGTGTTATCAAAGCAAGGTTTCAAATTCTAAAGCACTACAGTGATAGAGAATACGTGGAATATTGCTGACCTGGCCAAATCTGAGGTGTACATATACATGGTGTTGAATTAGATAACCAATGGTACAGGAGACAAAGACAGAACACAGGACCGCACAGGTTTCAGTGTAAGAATATGATTTGTTTTTGTCTGCAGTAAAATGTTTCCTTCTACTAAGCCTGTTCATGATGGTTGCATGGTATGAGGTAGTCTCAATAGCAAAGAATATTATCCTTATTTTGTAGGAAACAAATAGGGAGAGTCATGGGGAAATGGGACAGTACTGAGGAATAAACCTAACAATACAAATCTTCTAACAAGAGCACGTTGTTTAGATTTTTGAAAACTGCTGTCTGTAAGTTTTCTCAAGGAGAAAGCAGGAATGGATTGTTGAAAGCAAGGCTTTCCGTGATGCCTGATATTTCTGCTGTTCTTGGTTTTGGGTTACATGGACTTCATTCATGTTAAAATTATTCTGGAGTTTTAGAGAATGTGCACTTCCAGACTCTGGCACCCAGTCAACTTGGCCCAGTACAAATGTGGAAAATGCTTAATTCTTCAATTTCTGTATACCTTATTGTAAGTCAGGCTTGGCTGCGAAACCTACTAGTCTTGAAACCTTTCCTGTTAGTGGTCAGGCATAAAAGGTGGAGATTTAATTTACCTCATCATCAATGAAATTCAGTGCTTAGCTTTTCTCAGCTATGTGATTACATACTAGTCTTGATACAGAGCTACCTCTTTCATTACCTTTCAACTGCGAGTAATTAAGTCAATTCATAAGCTCTGTGATTTTATGGGATATGTTCTTAGCAATCATTGTTACATTATACTTAGTGAATCATTTCGAGTTCAATAAGTGGAAATAGTTGTAAATGTAAATCCTCTAATCACTCTTCCAATAAATGGTGCGGTGATCTTGCAAGCCAGCATACTGTGTTCTAATTGTACAAATTGCAATGCGTAATATTAGAGGAAAAAAAAGACAACATCAAAGCAATGTATTTTTTTCATTTTAGGAAGTCCAGCGTATTTTGGGAAAAGAGCCACCAAGACCAGAAAAAGGTAGGTGCTGGCTTATGAATAAGAAATAAGATTTTAATTCTAAACTTATTTTTTTTTCTGATGTAATGAAAGTCTTTTTATTCCAGCTGCAATGGAGGCAATAGGAATGGAACTGTACAGGAGAAATAAGCCAGAGAAGCAACCTTTTGCCCATCTCATTATTGATGATAAGAATATTCCAACTGGTAAGTTTAAAGTGAATACTTCTAATGCTATCATAAATGAACTCAATTCCTTTTTGTTAAGTGCATTGCTCTTCTCCCTTATGCAACCAAACCAAAGAGGAAGGCTCTGCTGAGGCCTGAAACCTGAGTTTTTCAACAGTCTACTCTGGAGACAAAACACTTCTGTACTGAAGGAGTCAGCTTTTTGCCTGGAAGAATAGGATTCTTTCTCCAAGTGCATCATCACTACTCAAATCTAGAGCTTAATAAACAGAGAGCCTAAGATTTTGATTTTACTTTCACTGGTGTGCATTGCTGCATTAACTTTCTAGGGAATGAATTAGCATGTCCGTAGATGATGGCAGGGGAAGTATTGCTCTTCTTCTCTTTGCTTTCTTTTTTCAGCACAGACTGTAGGAGCTCTTAGAAATATAGTGCCAGTAGTAAAACTACTTTGTTTCTTCTTTGAGCAAGTTGACCCCTTGCCAGTGCAGTGAGTTGAGCTCATCTGGCACATGGGTTGTGTCCTTTAATTGGAAGAACGTTGCCAGACATTAATCATGAGGACAGCTTCTGCTGATCCTGTGAGCATTGCATCAGTAAAGGACTGCATCCTTAAGGGCAGCTGGAACCACCAACCTTCTACTGATTGTAAGGCACTACCCACTTGATTGGGTGGCATAGAGGCTCATGACAGAGATTAAGGATGAAGAATTTGTTTGTGGGTCACTAAGTGTTGTTTTTCCCTACCCTGTTTTCTTTGACTGAAAATTTCTATTTTCTTCCCACGTTTCCTTGCCCTACACGTCTTCTAAATTATTTTATGCCATCTATGAGCCTTAGCAGATTGGTTTTCAGCATTCTAAGTTCTTTGTTGTCGTCACTGACCCAGAATGAGCAATGTCAGGAAAAAGAATCAGCTTTGTAACAATCAGACAGGGCTGAGTAGCCTGCGAGTGAACACCCACCATAAATAAGCACTGAATGTGTTCCATTTACCTGGTTCACAATAATTAAAAACCCCAATTGGACTTTTGCAGTTGGGGAATGTCAGGGAAGGGAATGGAAATAACCCTTCTTAGATCTTGGTGTCCCACCCATCATTTGACTGCAGAAGCCATAGTGGTTTTGTTTGCTGTTTGTATTTTTTAGGTTTGTTGCCTTAGGCTAAAGCTAGATGCTTGCTGGTTGCTTTTTACAAGAGCTTACTTTAAGCCTTACCTAAGTTTTAAATGACAACAGTGAATTTTGGTTTATAAATTGATTATAGAAATTAGTCATAGTTTAAAGGAGAAGAGTACAAACGTAAATAGATGTAAATGTTAAATATATCATTTGGAATGTGAATTGGTACCTTTAACTGTCTAAGGAAACACTGTAGTATTTTGAGCTATTTACAGCTACAGGTTTGGCTTCATTACTGCTTGCCTTCAGAAAAGGTTTTTCAGAGTAGACAGAACTTTAGCCCTTTCCTCAGGCTTTATTTATACCTGAATGCTGCTGCAGTGCAAAGGAGTAATAAACATTGTGTTTTGTTCTTCTGTTACCCTTCCATCATCTTTCTTACTAATTAATTCTACTGGAACTCAATTATGTTAGTCTCAGTTCATGCCTGCTAACATCTAAGACATTGTCTAGATTTGTTTTGAGTTACCAGAAAGATTGTAAATTATTTTTTTTTAATGCTTGTTACCTTGACTGGAAGGTTACCTTAGTCATTATCTTTGACTTCTGCCTTTTCTGTCAACGTAACTTGTCTTATGTTATTTTTCCATGGCTCCATTGTAAGTTTTATCTCAAAACATACTGTATTACAGCAATTCTGACTGTCCCATAACATGGGTTTATTATGTTTTAGAGTTTCAGTCACAGCTGACTTGGCACTTGTATGCTTCAGTTTTCTCCTCTGCCTGTGTTTTGGGATATTTATTGTTTTGGTGTCTCCAGATTTGGGTGTGTTACTCCCTGAAGTCCTGAGAGCCTGCTTAAAAATTGCATGCATCTTTGTGCTGTCACTGGCTGTGGCGAGCCTCTTAAAGCTTTGAATTGTTGCAAAACATCCATCTACCTTGGTTAACATAGTCATAGCATTATAATCTAGGTTGAAAGAGGCTTCTAGAGGTCATCTATATTATCTCCTGCTCAAAGCAGGTCTAATTACATCAGTAGATGAGGTCATCCTCCATCATGTCTTGGTCTGCCTTTCCACCTAACCGTGGATGAATGATATCTATTGCTCTCAGCACTGGAGCGTGAACCAAATTTCACCCACAGTTGCTTTCAGCATCACAAAATCAAGTGACTATGGCACCTATTTTCCATCTTCCCCTTTCAGCAAATCATGCATTTTCCCTGAGGACTTCTTTAGAATTGCCACTTAGTTATTGAGTCTGGCAACTAAAAAGTTTACTGGCAGGTAAATAAAATCTGCGTGTAAACTTCTTGGTGTGCCACCAGTCAGTCACAGTATGCTGGCATGCCTTTTGAATGTATACATTCTTGTTCAGATTTCTGATGTACTTCTGTCCTTTTCCAGTAATGCAGGCCCTAATTTCTTACCTATCTTCCTCATTTTCAGGGTAGCCCAAGTTTCTTGGGCTAGTATTTCTGATAGGCTCAACACCATGTAAAAGAAGTCCTACAAAACTTCTTCAGCTGTCAGTACTTCTGAGATGGGCTCTGGTACCACTTTCTCAGCATTCTCTTGCAGTTGAATAATTCCAGTATAAGAGACTTAATTGATTGTTTCCAGAATTTTTTAGAGGTACCACACAGAATAAAGCTCATCTCTGTATGAATTTGCTTGGGTAATTTCTACTTGGCTACATTGGAGCCATAGGGGAGCAGATATTTATGTTCTGCTATTAAAGCCTATGCTTTGCACAATTTTTTTGTTGGAGGGATGCTGGAAGGTTGTTGCTTTTTATTCTGGACTGCCATGAAAGTATTCTATTCACACGCAAAAGTCGCTTGTCCTTGCCAATTAGACTCATAGCTCTCAAATTCCCCTGTCTCTACTTACCCTCTCTTATTTATGCACAAACAAATCCAGGAAATGTCTGTAATCAAATGTACCTGAGGCTGTTTCCCAGGATGCTTGTGAACACTGGCAACTTACTGGGCATGCCTGGGTACATGCTTGCAGGACACTAAGTGGCCTTGGAAACTTTAGTGGAAATAGATTGTTTTGGTTTGATGTGGAGAAGATAGAGTACTGAATATTCCAATCAGGCAGGTAGATGCACTAGGAGCCAAAGATTTACATTCTCTGATGCCTATCCAGGTCTGCTGCTGAGTTAAACAGAAATGATTTTTGTTTGGAAGTTAGTAGTGGTTAGGAGAACAAGTTGTCCAACTTCCATCTGTTGTGCTATGCATTACGTGTCTTGTGAATAAATGGTAGGTTGTAGTGGCTCTTCCATTCCATGATGCATCCCAGAAAGTGTCAGGGCCTGCGTGGCTTTCTCAGAATGGTGCTGGTGTTCCTCTGTGTAGACACGTCCATGGGTCTTGATTGGATCTTCTACATCTTCTTTGGCCTGTTGCTGTTTTTTTTTTTCTGAGAGCTGAGGTGGGTGCTAGTGGAGTGGTGCTGGAAGTGAGGAGATGCAAGGGAATGTGAGGCTTATACTATGGGAGGTGTTCCTCACTAGAGCAGTGTCTCTGCATAATACATATGCCATAGTAGCCATGCTGCCTGGGCTGGTGTTGCAGTTTGTTGCTTAACACTGTGACACTAAAACCAAACTGAGTTGTCAGATGTGATGTTTGAAAGGAATGCTCCTTCTGAATCCCTCAAGGCATCTCTCAGCTCAGTAGGATCTAAATGAAATGACCTCTGAGACTTGACCAACTTGAAACCTCTTACAAATGTGGCTACTTGAGGACAGCAACCAGGAGGTGCCTTTTAGACCAGCGTTCCTGGAAGACATTTGTACCTGTATATGTGAAGTTAGCTTTCAGTGAGAGTATGGAACTGACAAGTCTGAACATTTCTAGCGTCTCAACTACTCTTTCACTCTCTTTACAGAGCATTCAGTCACTTTAATAGGCAGGGGACTTGTTGACCAGCCTCTCATCGTGGAGGAGGAGCAGAAAAGAATTATATATGTAGTAGTTCAGTAATGCTTGCTTAGATGTGCTCGGTTAATTGTTTTTGGTAATCAAACAGTAACTGCATGTGTATATTTTGATTCTCATGTGTATGATGTTATGTAGAGAGAGAGAGAGAGGGATAAATTACAGTGGTTATCTTCTTTCCTAATTTGTGGCTCTCCAGCTTAAGATAATTTAAGGGGGATTTGTTCTCCGAATGTGGAATATCAGCTCATTGTTTCTAGCTGGAATCATCATAGAATCATAGAATGGCCTGGGTTGAAAAGGACCACAATGATCATCTAGTTTCAAACCCCCTGCCATTGGCAGGGTCACCAACCACCAGACCAGGCTGCCCAGAGCCACATCCAGCCTGGCCTTGAATGCTTCCAGGGATGGGGCATCCACAACCTCCTTGAGCAATAAAAGACAGGCTATCTAGAACAAAGCTTTTCTATTGCTATTAATTTAAAAAGCAAACCTCAATTTTTTTTTTTTTTTAAATGTTGAGCTTTGTGAAATGTTTATAATTTTTTTTTCTTCCCCTCTCTTCAGGAACTCGCAAAGTGAACCTTACATCTTGGCATCATGACAAAGGCCAGGCAAACTTATCAAATATGACGTTCAGTGATGGGAAGCTGATTGTTAATCAAGATGGATTTTACTACCTTTATGCCAACATTTGTTTTAGACATCATGAAACTTCAGGAAACCTGACTAAAAGAGGGCTTCAGCTGATGGTGTACATGACTAAGACAAACCTTAAAATAAGGCGCTCTGATGTGTTGATGAAGGGAGGAAGCACCAAATACTGGTCAGGGAATTCGGAATTTCATTTTTATTCTGTAAACATAGGAGGATTTTTAAAATTAAAAACTGGTGATATGATAAGTATCCAGGTATCAAACCCATTGTTACTGGATTCATCACAAGAAGCAACTTACTTTGGGGCATTTAAAGTAAGGGATTTAGACTGAATCTTTTAATGTGCTGAAATTTTGGGGGGTTTGGGGGGGGTTGTTGTCCAGACACAACTTGAAGACAAAGATGAAAATCTTTTGCAACCCAATTGCATCTGTATAAAAATATATCTCTAAAGGCACATTTTGCCCTGTGCTGATTCTAGCAACAGTTTCATAAATCAAGGATATAATTTTATAGATCTCCTGATTCAGACTTATGCTAATTTTACTTCCTATGTTTCCATTGGCTTTGGTAGAGTCATTATGATTTTACATTGATGTAGTTGAAAGTAGAGCAATTAATATTACTCTATTTGTTTCCACACCCTGACCGTACTTCATAGCCTGTGCTACTCTTGCTAGTATTGGTACAAACAGGGCAGGGCAGAAACTGGCTTCCAGATTGCATTTGGTGCTCAGATTTGTTTGGGGCTGAGCATTCTGACCCTGAGGCAGCAAAGATTGTGAACGTATGACTAATTGCATTGCATTTGATGTGGTTTTTCACATGTTTAGTTAAGCAGGTTCTTGCTTTTCTGGATTAAGGTTGGAGCTTTCAAGTCCCGGCAGAAATGAGTTGTACAACACCTAAACAGTTCAAATTAAGTTTTTATCTGACTAAAAGGGCTATTCCAGGAAGGAGGAAGATCATCTGGCCTTGCAGTTCTAAAAGGTTAATTACAGTTCATTCTTATTGTTGCACAGCTAATTGCAAATACAGATTGCCAAAATACAGTATGCCTTTAAAGTATTACATTGTGCCAGAACCTGCAAAGACATTTTTTAGACAAAAAAAATATGTATTTTTATATTCTGTAATATCTAAAGTTATATTTCAGGTGTAATGTTTTGTGTAAAGAAAAAAAAATGTAAATTATATTGTCCTATAGTATTTGATACAAGATATTTAAATTCTCTTGCTGTTTGTATATTTAATGTTTTATACTGTTTTTAATGTACAGACATGTTAAACTAGTGCACTTTTTAATCCCAATGGGAAAAATTGCAGCTAAAAGAGGTTGTTTGCAATTAGCAAATGTAATATATCTTTGTTCTTTTTAACTTAATAGATTTCTGTTAAACTTGTCAGTATTACTGGGAGGAGAGGAGGGAATTTCACAGCAAAGTCATGAGTAATCACACCAGAATGCTGGTCACTGGGTGTCTTTCCAACCTGGAGGGTAATTAACATTACAAAGCTGGCATGACATTAAAAAAAAAAAAGGGCCACAGAAATATATTTGGGGTATTTATAGTTTCTGAGCAGGCAAGTTTTCCTACAATGAACTCTGCAAGTTACAAATTTTGTAATGACATTTTTTTGGCCTAGTTTCCTGAAAAAGTGAAGCTTATGTCATTGCATTGCCTGTCCTTTTCTCCCCTTGTAGCTTTTGAAACTCTGTGCCTTTCTGCCAGATGTGGCAGATGAATGGCAGTGTTAAGAGGTAATCTTACAGGATTTTTGTGAGAACTGACAGCTGAGGAAAAACTCAGCCATTTTACATTATTTGTCAGTGGCTGGCCACTGTTCATATTAGCCAACAATTTAATATGGGGAAACTTCTAGCTAGCCGCTACATGTGTTGTTTCTTGTATAGTTGCTTGGCCAAAAATGGTAGGTGGTAGGAATCTGAGGGTGGGTATGGGAAAGGTGGGGGTTGAGCTGCAAATACTACCGATGATATTTAGGGCACATCTAGGCAGGGAACAACAGTTGGTGAGGAGGGGATGAGAGAGGCTTTAGGAGTATTTGGGTACTCTTAGGATGATGTGGGGGAAGCCTACTGTTCATCAATGCAGTAGGAATCACAGAAGGCAAAGGGCTCATCTACAAGAAATGAGGCTTCATACAAATCCTCAGACTTCTTTTTTTTTTTATAATTAATGGATTTGAATTCAAGCAATTATTTTATACTGTGTATGTAATAATGTAATAAACATTTCTTTTTAATGTTAATATTGTTTTCTTACAAAATATATTTCTAAGAAAAAAAATCTTTGTGGTTTCTTTATTTTCCTGTGCTTTTGTATTTCATGTACAGCTTCAATAGTTTTCTTCATAATATGCAGGCTGGGTGTGGTATGACTCCTTAAAACTGAAGCACAAGTCAACTATTTTGAGAATTACACCTAATTCTATGGATTCTTAATTTGATTGCAAACTTTGGCACATGTGTCTATCACTTTCAAGCAGGGTAGGATCAGGTGTTGGAAACATATCTGGAAATGATGGATTTGATTTTGTTTCACACCATATAGTTACCAGTTCAAAGCCAGAACTTACAGCGGAATTTAGGCCTTTCAGATTTTTAAGAGCTACAGGTCACTCTCCAAGAATCTTCTTTGTAGTGCGTCAGTGCTGATTAGTAATACTGCAGGTGCATAAAATTTACAACGCAATATGGGGCTTTAAATATCCCTTGTGTGATGACTTTGGGACCTAAATTATTTTTTTTAATTTTCTTTTTAAGCTAAGTATCCTTGGAATGCAAATTGTCTAGCTATGTTGTGAACCAGGTGGGAGGGATGTGACAAAGTACTCCTCAAGGGGCTACATGCACTACCATGGAATTGTAATTAGAAGCGCTGTTCTGGCTGTGCTCTCTACAAAATAATAAGCAAATATGAAATCATAGAATTAAAGTCGGAAAAGACCACTGAAGACCCCACCTCACCACAACATCCATTTAGGCCAATGTAGAAAATGATGGCTCCCCTCAGCCTCCTCCAGACTGAACAATCCAAGTTCCCTCAGCCACTGTCCATAAGACACTGGTCTCTTCACTGGCTTCGTTGCCCTTTTCTGGTCATGCTCCAGGGCCTCAATGTCTTTTTTGTGATGAGGAGCCCAAAACTGAACACAGTATTTGAGGTGTGACCTCACCAAATATGAGTATAGCGGGGTACAGAGTACAGATCATTTCCTTGCTGCTGCTGACTGCACTATTTCTTTTATAAGCAAGGATGCCACTGGCCTTCTTGGCCACCTGGGCACACTGCTGGCTCATGTTCAGCCAGCTAACAGCCTCAGATCCTTTTCCTCCATACAGCTTTCTAGCCTTTCCCAAGCCTGTAGCAGTGTATGGAGGTCCTAATCTGCACGTATTGCTTGGTCCTTCTGCCTCTTATGTTTATTTAAAATGAAGCATGATATTCAGTGTAGTGCTACTAGTAAAGTTTGATTTAGCTTTTTATATCTCAGCAGCCCCAGTTTGGAAAGCTTGAACAGGGTTATTTTAAGGCAGTCTGTGTGTTTAAGCACAGAAAGTAAAACCACCTGCTCAATCGAGCCTTCTCCAGAAGTGGCAGTTTGTTTGTCTGCTTCATTTATAATAATTGCTTTGTTTGGACACAGTTAACGAAGAGAGTAGGCTAATAAATTACTGAAGAGAGTTACACTGAGAAGAAGATAATGTCATCTTGGCTAAGAAAAGTAAAGGGGACACTCAGTTGATAATCTTAAAAAAATTATTCTGGTCTGTAGGTAGAGAATGATAGTTTGCTGAAATTCCAAGTTAGAAAAATTATACTTGGAAATAATTTATCTCAAATTACGTGTATTTACATGTAATCTTTCAGATGAATCATAGAATGGCCTGGGTTGAAAAGGACCTTAAAGATCATCTAGTTTCAACCTCCCTGCCATGCCAACCACTAGACCAGGCTGCCCAGAGCCAAATTCAGCCTGTCCTTGAATGCCTCCAGGGATGGGGCATCCACAACCTCCTTGGGCAACCTGTTCCAGTATCTCACCACCCACTGTGTGAAAACTTCCTCTTAAGCATGCATTTATTGTATTCTTGCTGAAAAAGTAGATTTTCATACATGGGCTTACAACTACATATTTTAGTACTTGGGGACTCCTCCCCACCCCTCTCCAAGCTGTCAAACCAGTGAGTGTTTCTTTTTCTGTCTATCCCTCTTCCTTTCTCTGGCTTCTTCCAGCTGTTGGAGTCCTGCTCACTCCACCAGTGGTTTACAGCTCTTTTTCCTGGTGGTAGCAGCAGCCGTATATCGGATCAAAGCATCCCTCTCTTTTGCCCACTTACAGGTGGCTTTGCTATGTCTTCATACAGCAAATGAACTTGGATTGATGTCTCAGATTCAGAGGACTCCAAACAATCATCACATTCTTATACATCTCCATTACAAAACTAGTCTCCAATAAAACTTCATGAACGTGACCATATGCAATATTTTCCCCTCCTGTGAGAGGTGCTGCTTCTCCCCAGACTGCACATCACTAAACTCCAAACCATTCACATTTAGCTCTGACAGAAGACAAGCACAGACTCCAATTACTTTCCACTCCTTGCAAGCTGCAAGTCACGAAATGATAGATTCCTTTCATTTTTCTAACCTTCTGGTTCTCGATGCATTCACCGCATGAGAAATCCCCAGTTGTGCATTTAGCAGAGGATGCCAGAATCCTTTTTTGGCAGCTGAACTCACATTTCAGGTGCTCTCATATCTTTATAGCCATGACGGAGTTGCTGCCTCACTCTGTAGGTACTGGGCTCCCATAATCCCCAAACTGCACTACCAGGTGTGAGTAATTGCTCTGATGGGCAATTGTAGGAGCCCCTACCCTGTAAGGAGTGAATTCACAAACATCATTCACTCCCCAGCAGGGTATGAATTTTGGAGCACTTGAAACACAACCACAGGCTGCACAGAAGGTAATTATTTGGGAAGTGTATGTATTCCTTTGTACTGAAGGCTTTTAGCTCATGTCCCATCAATTTGAAAGGTTTTAACCTGTAGTCATCAGACTGAGTGAAGTGTATGTTCTCCACCCTGCTGACATCTAGAGCAACCAATGTCTAGCAATGGGCATAACCTGTTTGTACTAATTTTGCTCTCTGGGCACTAAACAGTTATCAGTCATTTGCAGATTGTCTTTCCTTTTTCTATAAATATCTCACAGATGATCTGCTTTTTGGGTTTAATCAGTTTCCTGGTTTCCTGCAACATTTTGCAATGTTAGTGTCACTAAATTGTTCTGCTGTGCAATATCACATGCACAAATGAAACTTCAAGAAAAAAATGTCCTTCTGGTTTAATGATTGTTTGTTCATCACAGCTCCAAATCTTTGCTGTAGAAAAACAAATTGGATGGTGATGTTGTTCTTCCAGCCCAAAAGGCCAGCAGTATACTGGGCTGCATCAAAAGAGGGGTGGCCGTCAGGGAGAGGGAGGTGATTGTCCCCCTCTACTCAGCTCCTGTGAGGCTCCATCTGTAGTACTGTGACCAGACCTGAGGTCCCTCGCTCAAGAAGGTTGTGGAGCTGCTGGAGTGTATCCAGAGCAGGGCGTGAAGATGATCTGAGGACTGGAGCACCTCTCCCCATGAGGATAGGCTGGGGCAGTTGGGCCTGTTCAGCTTGGAGAAGGCTCCTGGGTGACCTCATTACAGCCTTCCAGCACTTGAAGGGAGCTTATAAGCAGGAGGGGATTGACTTTTTATAAGGTCTGGTAGTGATAGGACAAGGAGGAATGGCTTTAAACTGACAGAGGGGAGATTTAGGTTATAGTTACAGAGAAATTCTTTACTCAAAGGGCAGCGAGGTGCTGGCAAGGGTGTCCAGAGAAGCTGTGGATCCCCATCCCTGGAGGCATTCAAGGATGACTTGGATGGGACCCTGGGCAGCCTGAGCTGGAGGGTGACACTGCACACAGCAAGGGGTTGGAACTGGATGATCTTCAAGGTCCCTTCTAAACTAAGCCATTCAGTGATTTTATGATTTCTGTCCTGCTAACTGGAGGGGGACTGGAGTTAGGAGACACTGAGTAGAGAACAACCTTGCAACTTAAACCTGTCCCTATTAATACTTGAGAGATACTACCAAGTCCTACCAAAACTCTATAGGATTCCCCATTGAGCTCTTTTGTTCTGTGTCTCTGAGTTGAAACAGCTTGAAATAATGCAAGAGCAGTACTTCAATCCACAAAGTTATCTTTTGATTACATGGAATTGAGAGTACGTGCTGTGCACCTTGGGGTTTGGTGGGGAGAGCTCTTCAGAACAGGTCAAAACCTGGTGAGAAAGATAAAACAAGCCCAGGTGGGCAATGGAGGTCCAGGCCTGAGCTCCTGCCTTCTTGATTTATCACCCTCAATAGAGAGCTATGCATTTGGGAATAATCTGGCAGCAGAAAGCATTTTTAGTTTGTTTACTAATCCCTGAAACAGCTGTCTGTTCTACCATCTATTGTCACCTATAACTGTACTGTTGAATCACCACTTCTCTGAATTTCATCTCAACTCTAAAAGGGCTGTTATACCACTGTGAATAAGAAAAGGTCACTTTACTGAAACCTAATTAGCTTTGTTATAAATATAAAAAGTAATACACTAAATTAGTATTGATTGCCTTGAACTGCACTCCTGTGTTTTGCTTCCTGTGGATTAGCAGTGCTTTATTCTATTTCTGCTTTGCTAAATGGCTATTTTTACTTCTTCAGTTTTGTTGAAAATAACACTTAAAAACAATATATATTAAAAAAGAAAAAAAAAAAAGCCAAACAGAAATGCTCCCACGATTTATTTGAAAACATCCAAACAAATTTCCTCAAGTTTGCTCTTGTACCCTGGTATATGCCATCCGTATATTTGCAGAATTTTGCTGATGTGTGAGATTGCGAAACAAAGCAGCTCGCATAAAAAGAGATAATTGAGAACTCTATTGGCCCAGCTGTGCTGTGAGACTTGCTGAATGCGAAAAATTCCCCCCAAATACATAAATTGCTTGTTACAATTCATTCAGTTTCATTAATCTCGGTTAATATTGTATGGTAAGAAAGGGCTTAGCTTCTCACTTTGAAACCAGAGGACGTTTTTTTTTTTTTTTTCTGCTGACAGCAATAAGATTAGTATTATAAATAGTTTTATATATGACAATTTCTTTTTAAGCCTTTTTGAAAGGTAGCTATTTCGGTGTGTGCTGGTGTTT